GGGCTCTTTGTTGTCTCTTTGTTTTTCATGAGACGCTAATTTGTGGTAATTGTGTTATGCAGCAGCAAGAGGCTTGGAGGAAGGGAGTTATTGGTGTGTGTATCTTAGTAATAACGATTAGAGAGCCGGGGAAAAAAAAAATAATGAGGCAGAAGAAAACATATTATGAAAATGCTCACGTACTTGGGGAGAAAGCTCCAGCCTGGTGCTTTAAGGGAATAAAAATCTGTCTGGTGTCTCTCAAGCACCTATGTCTACTGGCATGCCATCAAGATACAAACTGTATACACTGCCACAGACAGCATTAATTTAAGGCAATTAGGGCGAATTAAAGGAGTGATTTTGGTGGGGCATGGAAGCCGTGAACTCCCTTTTTGATGATTTGATGTTCTTAAGAGGAACACCCATCAGGAGAGGTAAAAAAGAAAGCCCAGTTCTTTGCTGGTGGTGCTGCAGCAACACTTTAATATCTTCATCAGGAACACGGGCTGGCCTGGAAGAGGTTAAAGCAGCAGGACCTGGCAGAGGTGTGACGTTGATTGGCTGCTTCTTGTGCAGATTTGTGCACTTGGGCTCCAAATGTCTCATCCCCTGGAACATCCTGTGCTGCCCACTGCCTGACAGGCTCCTAAAGTTGATGGAGCACCGCTTTGTCCTGGCATGGCAGCTCCTGCCCCCGAGGGAAAGGGCCCGATAAACTCAGCAGACACATTTCTGGAGCTCCAGCTGTTGCCCGTGGCTTTGGGGGTGCTCTGGATCTCATCCCTGCCCGGGCTGGTGCTGCTCCCTTGGGACACAGAGCCAAGAGGACTCTTCCACTGCCACGTTCCTTCCCCAAGCTGCTGATTCCTGCTGTCATCAGGCCCCTTCCATTCCGAGGGGATCTGAGACAAAAGATGCAGAGATAAGCAAATAATGGTGGGTAAATCTGTGCCTGTGGAAAGACTGATACATCACTCGAAGCACGTTCCTTCCCATCCTTTCCCGAAACAACTTCTTTTTTTCCCAGCAGTGGCCGCCTGGAGAGTGGCAGTGGGGGCGACAGGAGCTTTGCATTTACAGTCCTCAAGTGCCACGGGCTCCTTGCAGACCGGAGGCTCCATTTTTCAACTGCAGCATCATTATGGCTTGAGCTGCTTGGAAAATTACCTAAACAAAAGCTGCCGCCGGAGCACAGTGGGGAGGTGGAGGCTCTGCGGGGAGGAGAGAATTATACACAGACTCCCGTGGCAGGAGAAGTTTAACGTGGCCGTGCAAGATGCCCTAAGCCTGGGCAATCCACCAGTGAAAAGGGCACCGGGTTCTCACAGTGGCTGCAGCGAGAGAATGTTCCTGAATAAAGGCAGAATTCCTTCCCTGGGATTCCTCCAAAGCATGGAGAAGGGTTTGCTGCACTGCCTGCCCCGGGTGGCAAAGCAAGGGGTGAATGCTGAGGAGCAGGACCAGCCCAAAACGCAGCTCTGATGTGGGGGAGATAAAGCAGGGTGCTGGGTTTATTTCTGTCCCAGGGATCTGGGGTCTCTGCTGCACAAAGATGGGCCACACGGGGTGCAGAGTCAGAGCTCTGGCCCTGAGGGGGGTCCTGCCTCACCAGGAAAAGTTGGAAGGAGAAAGGGAGACAAAGGGAGATGCTCTGGGGGGAAAATCAACTCAGTGGGATGAGGGGAGGCGTTTCAGGGTACTTGATCTGGTGGCTTCTCGCAGCACATAAAAGCCTGAATGAAGGATTTCCATGGTGTGATTCAGACACACCTTCAATTCCCCCAAACTGCTTTACATATTAAAGATTCATGTCAAGCAAAAGCACAGACAAGTGGCATTAACTCTCACCTGAGGGAAGCAGCAGGAACAGGATGGGAAAGGGCCCAGCAAGACACAGGAGGTAAACAAGAAAGAAGCAGGAGGGATGAAAAGCCAGGCAGGCTCTCATCCCTGGGTGGATTTGTTTCAGCAGTAGGTAAAAATCAATCTTCCTGAGGCTACCAAATAGCCCCGTCCTCTGTATGTGGTCAGATTTTATCAGATCATCCAGAAAATAAATCAAAGCGGGAAATTCTTTGTGAGTTCCACACAAAAAAATGAACCTTTAGCAGCTCCTCTCTGTAATTAGGCAGCTTTCAGACCTGCAGCTGCACAAGAAATCCAGTGGCCAAAATCTTCATCTGTCCAGAATTAGGAAATCACCCCCGGTTTTAATGAATCTGCCTTGATTTATGCAAAAGCATGGAACTTGTCTAGCCAGCATTAGGCTGTGCTCAAATGATTTAGCAACGTGGTGATAAAGTCCCTCTGAATCCCAAGATGGAAAATTTAAGACACCTCTAATACTTGAACATCTTTTAATTGAGTGTGAAATCCCAGGCAGATTTATCTTGTTTGAAAATTTCAGCCCTTTTTTTTTTTTTTTTTCTGCCCCACCACTTTTTTTTTTTTTTAATCCACCGTTTGGGTGCTCACTCTGAGCTCTCTAAATGAATTGGATAATTCTTTATTTCATCTATCTAGTACACATAGATCTTTCCATCAGTGTCACTCCCAGACTTAAAACACCTTGCAAATGAGGCTGTTCAGGGAAAGGAAATCGTCAGCACTGAACACAAACCGCTCTCCAAACCTCAGACCACACACAGCAACATCTTCCAAAGTTCCTCCTCTCAACACAAATTAACTGTCTCCATTGTCTGAGCAGCTGGGTTGGGTTTTTTCCCCTTTTAAAACACTGAGAATTTTGCAGTTCATCTTCAACTCAGATGTGTTTTAAGCTCCAGGCTGTCCCAGTCTTTAAAAGACAGTGGAATGAGTCCAGCTCCTGGTTTAATAGCCAGCATTTAATATCTCTTGCCTTTGGGGTGGCTTTTCTTTCTCAGCCAAGCAGAAGCTAAAAACCCTTGCTAAAATCTGAGGGATGATTTATCAAAACAATGCTTCTCCCTCCTTTCTGAACAAGTAAATAACTCAGAATTCCAAGGCCTGGAGCAGCTCAGAGAAGTTTCTCCACTCCTGGTCTCTTTTTTTGGTGCATGGTCTGGCCCTGAGCTGGGCATGTTAATGGTGGGACTTCATCCAATGGCACCAGACACTCAAACAATGAGATTCTGGCCGGTTTGGTGACAGATCTTTGCTTAATATGATGGATACTCCAAACCTCTCTAGGCAGGATTTATCTACTTTCAGGGATGCAAAGCTTGAGAGGAAGCAGCTCCCCCTTTCCCAGGCTCACAGGTCCTGTTTTCTAGGCTGGTCTCCCCCTCACTGCTTTCTCCTGAACTTTGATTAGCCCAAAACCTGTAAACTGGACACACACAGCTCCAGCCTGTCTTGGCAGAGCTAAATACAGGGATTGCCTCACAAAACTTTGGTGGGACATCAGCCCTGCCTATCTCTACCTGACTCTCCGTGCTCTCCAGGTCTACAAGCTCTTCACTGCAATAATTTGACTTTCCTCTGAGGATTTTAAGGAAAAAAAACCCATGCAGTGTTAATCACCCAGGCCACGAATACAAATTTGTTTTCCATGGAGCATTTCAGAGCTTGGAACAAGCCACAGATTCTGCGAGGTCAGAGGTGCCAGCAGAAACAAAACCCAGGGTGGGGCTCAGCTCCCTCCCCTGCCATGGCTCATTTAGACTCATCTTCCAATGGATCGATTGAAATAAGAGTTGCCTCATCCTAAGATAGGCATCTAAAATAAACCTGCTGAATCACCGCCTTTTAAGGGGCTTTGGTAGCTCGAGATTTCCCTTGTTATTCGAGGTTTAGTCTCTCCCAACCCCCTCTGGCACTCGGGGAAGGACGTGGTGCAGCCCTTTGTGGCTCCAAACCTCCAACCAGCCTTCAAAAAACGAGAGTATTTAACCCCTCCTGGAGTTGTGGCACAGCACAGGTACCTCTTTCAGGGCTCTCCTGGGGGAATCTGAGCATCCCTTGAATTTGCCTCACTTCATGAAACACTCGAATCCAAAAAAAACCCAAAAACTTTCAATCTCTGAGTTGCTGCCCAGGAGGAGGTGGAGAGTCTGTCGTGCAAGGACAGGCACGTGGCTCATCTGCTTCCCAGCGACTTTGGCTGTGAAACCCCGCTTTGTGTTCAGCTCCACTTCAGGACATCATTTTTATATTCATCAGTTCGCCATCAGGGACTTGGGCCGCTTCTTTTTCACTTCAAAAATGCAATTAAGAGCTCTGTGAAAAATCAGCATCCCCTCAACAGCACATTCTGCTCGAGGCATTTCATCCCTAAACCCCCCTCTCCAGTTACCTGTGCTTTGTCCCACCATGCAGGACCCCTGGTCAGGGTGTCTCTCTTTGCTATTCCCTCCATGCTCCATTTGTCTGGCAGGCAGTTCTCTTTTTACAGCCCAAGAATATTTATATTTATATTTATATTTATATTTATATTTATATTTATATTTATATTTATATTTATATTTATATTTATATTTATATTTATATTTATATTTATATTTATATTTATTTAGATTTAGATTTAGATTTAGATTTAATTTAGATTTGGATTTAGATTTTATATTTATATTTATGTGTGTATAATATATGCATATGTGTGTGTAATATATAAATATATATATTTTTTAAAAAGAATATAAAGAATATAACAAGAATTACTTGTTAGCCTATAAACAGGAGCTTGTAATCTGCCTTTCACTTTCTGGTCTCTGCAGGAACTGGCAGCTTTTTATGGGAAAAAAAAAAAAAAAGAATATTTAAAGCCCCACTTGTGATCAGATTTGAGTGCTCCTTCTTTCTGGGCAATACGGGACTGGCAGGGAATTACGGTAATGGCAAGGACACTGCCTGCTACATCAGCAGAGCAGTAAAGTTCCTGCTGCTCCTTCCCAGTGTGGAGCTGAGCTCTGAACTGGGCAGGGATCCCTCCAGGGAGCCCGGAGTGAAGCCCCCCACGAGCCCTGGATGCAGGGAATCAGCACAACCGAGCTGCCAAAACACCAGTGGGGAAATGAAGGGAGGAGAGCAGTGGATTTCCAGGCACAGAGTCCCATCCCTGCGTGAAGAGAGGAGCCTGCTGTGCTGAGAATCTGCTTCCCAGATGCTCACAGGAGCTGTGCTGCCTTCCAGAGACTCAAGAGGTGAGTGTGGGGCAGGCACAGGAGCCTGGGGTCTGCCCTTCCCAGCAACATCCCTCTCCACAGGCTGAGAATTCCCTGGGTTTGAGCATGAAAACCTCTGTCAGTCCTTTGTGCTGCATCTCCTCGACTTATTGGCGGGTTTTTCTTCCTGTGCTTAAATTGAAGTTGATAATTTCTTAATTTTCTAGGCCACTATCAACCTTATAATGACCACAGTTTCAACCCTGTTAATGACCAGTTGTGATGGTTAGAGATGCTCGAGGTTACAGCCACTTTCCATGCATGTGCTTGCTTAGTAAAATCTCTCCTTTCCCTCCTTGGAATTATTCCTCCACTTGTTCCATCTGGCGGGAAAGGAAATAAAAAGATCCCATTTCATTTCGGTTCACTAAAGGCAAATTCCCACAGTGCAATACCTCTCCATCTTCCCTTCCCCCCACCCTCCCTGCCTGGGAACTGGGAATTTCGGGGGCTTCAGAGCTTGGAAAGCCTTTTTGCCTGCAGGGAAGTTCAGCTTTGAGGCTCCCAGATGTGACAATTGTTGCTGCTCGGTGTTTGTGGTCTGAGGGACTCATCCAGAAAAACCCAATGTCGGGACACTCCGAGAGCCTTCCCTCCTCCTGGATGTTACAGGGGTGGTTTTTCACCTCTGATTCAGTGTTTGGGATGGGAATATTACACCCACATGCAGGTTGGGGAAGGCTTTGCAGCCCACACTTGGAGCTCTCCCTCCGTGCCCCCCGTGTCCCGGTTCCCAGGCTTATCCTCACTTTTCCAGCTGATGTACCTTTTCTCCATATTTAGTCAGCTGAGGCTGAGCTTGGCTTCCAGACCCTCTGAAATGTTGTGTCACTCACGAGGAAACTTGTTCCTTGCCACATCTTCTGCTTGGCAGGAGCTGCTTTTCCCCCCCACAGAATTTGCAAAAAGGGCGGCTCAGCTGAACCTACAAAATCAGGGGGTAAAGGAGTGGCTTAACAAAGAAATCCCAGAGTAAATTCTGGGCTTCTAAATCTAAATCTGAATCTAAATCTGAATCTAAATCTGAATCTAAATCTAAATCTGAAACCTTCAGGTTTCTCTCCTAGAACTGGCCTCTGCAGAGGAACTGATAATTAGGGTTGATGCCCATCCCCATAAAGGAGGGAAAATTCAGGCAAGAAAACCCACTCGGAGTTTTGGGTTGTGCTTGAACAATACTGGGCTGGAAAAGGTTGGTTCCAGTGGCTGAGGCAGCCTGAGGAAGGCTCCCTAAAATAGCCTCCTGCTCTATTCTTATATGGGAACCACAGCAGCCAGTGCAGCTTCTGGGAATCACATTGTCCCCGGTTTTGTCTTCTCCAGGGGGTGAAGAGCAGCAGAGAACACGGCAAACTTCACTCTTCCCTGCAGAGCAAGCCAGAAACTGCTGTAAATGAGCTTTAATTCGCAGCCCAGGACCTCAGCTGGCATCTGCTCCACAGGCAGGGAAGCTCTGACTGACAGCCCAGCCCCTGAAGATGGGTAGGGACAGACATCCCGAGTGGAACTGCTGAGCAGACACAGCATCAATCTCCACCCAGTCAGGCCTCCAAGCCAATTTTAAGGCAGAATCAGGACTGACACAAGGAAATGAAAAGCATCAGTGATCTCCTCCTGGGAGAAACTTCAATTTGAGAGCCTTTGGAATATTTTTGTTATTTAAATATTGAATCTCCCCACCCACCACCCCCACCCCGAAGATAGGAATGATTTTAACTGGCAACTCCAAGAATTCTCACTGCTTAATCCTGGAAAGGAGGATGAAGAGCCTCAGTTCTGTGTAGCCTCACTTGTGCACCCCAAGAAAGATGCCAGAGGAGTTCAATTGGACTTGGAAATGGTGGTTATGAGCTGTGCTGTGCTGGTGAAAACTTAGGGACAAAGGTAGGTTTTCTAGCATGTTTCTGGATCTTTCTCCTTGTTGCTGGTGCTGCACTTCTGAGACGTTCTTAAAAAGTCTTTTTTTCCCAGGAAACCAGGCAGATGGTGCCTGTAGGACCTTCTGAGGACTGATCTCAGCCCTGTTTCTGCCTGGCAGGGGGGGGTGCAGCACAGCAGCCTCGCATGGACACTCCCAGCCACCCACCATGGCTTTCCTCCCTGGGAACTCCTCCAACTGCTCCAACTGCACCCACTCCGCGGAGCCCGTGAACATTTCCAAGGCCATTTTGCTGGGGGTTAATTCTGGGGGGGCTGATTGTTTTTGGGGTGTTGGGCAACATCCTGGTTATCCTGTCGGTGGCCTGCCACAGGCACCTCCAGAGCGTCACCCACTACTACATCATCAACCTGGCCGTGGCCGACCTCCTGCTGACTTCCACCGTGCTGCCCTTCTCGGCCACCATGGAGATTTTGGGCTACTGGGCCTTCGGGAGGATCTTCTGCAACATCTGGGCGGCCGTGGACGTGCTGTGCTGCACGGCTTCCATCATGAGCCTCTGCATCATCTCCATCGACCGCTACATCGGGGTGAGCTACCCCCTGAGGTACCCCAGCATCGTGACGGAGAGGAGGGGCCTGCTGGCGCTGCTCTGCGTCTGGGCACTGTCCCTGGTGATCTCCATCGGGCCCCTCTTCGGCTGGAAGGAGCCGGCCCCCGAGGACGAGACCATCTGCCAGATCACCGAGGAGCCCGGCTACGTGCTCTTCTCAGCCCTGGGCTCCTTCTACCTCCCCCTGGCCATCATCCTGGTGATGTACTGCCGGGTCTACGTGGTGGCCAAGAGGGAGAACAAAGGCCTGACCTGCGGGCTGAAGACGGAGAAGTCGAGCTCGGAGGAGGTGACGCTGAGGATCCACCGCCGCAACGCGCCCGGCGCCGGCGGCCCCGCGCCCAACCCCAAGAGCAAACACCACTTCTCCGTCAGGCTCCTCAAGTTCTCCAGGGAGAAGAAGGCAGCCAAGACCCTGGGCATCGTCGTGGGGTGCTTCGTTCTCTGCTGGCTCCCGTTTTTTGTGGTGATGCCCCTGGGTGAGTAAAGCAAAGCCCTCTTGTTTCCCCCGGAGGGAGGGAGGTTGTATCCCACGACCAGCTGGGAGAAGGCTGATCAGAAAACATCTGAGGGAACAATTTCCCACTCCTAAAGCTGTCAAAAAGCCCAAAGCATCCCCCACCACGAAGCCTTGCCAGTGTAAATCAACACGAGTCTCGTGCGAAGGGAAACGTCGCCGGTGGTGAGAAGCGAAACTCCCCAAATCAGGGAAATTTAGGGCTTTTTCCATCTAGGAAATGCTCTTTTTGAACCAGGGCAGGTTATTTCTGGCCAGCTCTGCATTAGGAACAGTGTTATTAGCAGGTTGTGTGTTTATATCTATGTTTGCAGCCAGTTCTTCAGGTGACTTCAAGATGTAAATGAATTCAAAGTAGCTGCTCACAGACTTGGGGCCAGATCTGGCGGGCACAGCACTGATAATTCCCACTGTAAGGAAAAAAAAAAGAGCTTTCTACCAGGAAAATCACACTCTGAGTTGCCACAGTCCAGATGAAATTAGTGTTTTCTCCAATTTATCATATGACCAGTCAGAAGGCAGCAGTGAGGATCCTTCCAGCTCATTTCATACTTGTCTGGTTTTTCGTGTCTTCTGGAAACCCACTGGCCAAACCATCACTCTGAATACCAATATTTATTCCCCAGTTTGTCCTCCTAAAGGGGAGCAAAGCTGGGGATTTGTTCTGCTTTGCTGCAATGTAAAGAAGTAATTAGAATTTTAATTAAACCTTGCTCAGTTACCTTTGATGCAGCTTCAGGATTTCAAAGCAGAATACTAATTTCACACCTCTATCCAAGCTTGGCTCTGCCACAGCTCCACCCAAACACTGGGTTGGGAACGTGGAACTGAAAATCTGACTTGCTCAGTTTCTTATGGAGTTTCCTTATGGAAAAGGCTGAAGCTGTGCGGGAAAAATGGAAGCTTTAGCTGGAAACAGAACAAGGTGGAAAGTTAAGAAAAAGAAAAACAGCTGAATATAAAAGGGATTTTAATTTCCCCTTTTTCTTTTTTTTTTTCCCCTCTGTTTTTTTAACCCTAAAAATAAATATTCTCTTTGAATCACCTGATTTTACAAGGTCGCTTCACCAAAACCTGTTGCTAATGCGAGAAAAACCCCCAAAAATTTAGATTTTCTTTTTTTTTTGGTTCTCTTGGTCAATACCAGGAAGTGCTGATGTAAGAGCTGGAGATGCCTCCTTAGGAGGAGGCCTGGCTCGTGCTGTCCAGGATGTCAGCACGTTGGAATGCTGCTTGCCAAGACGACTGAAACATACCCAAAAAGGGTTTTTTTTTTTGCTGGGACACATTGAACACACTTTTCATCTGCAAGTGCTGGTTGCCCACACAGAGCCTGTTGTTAATTAATCCGCTCTGGGTTTAAGAAATTTCCTGGGGCTCGTGGAGTGGCTTTGATCCCTTGTAAGGAAACTGGTGCTTCGTTTCCCCTGTCCTTGTGGGGTTGCTGGGTTATTTTTAAAGCCTATAACAGGGGCTTTCAAAACCTATTTGCTGCCTTTAAGGACAAAAAAAAAAGGTGCCAGCTGCAACCTTTGGTTGGCTTCCTCACCTCCTTGGATGGAGTTTCACTCCAGGCAAAGGGTCAGCCCAAAACACCTTCTTCTCTCTTGGCTTGATGTTTGTGGAATAAACCAAGTGATGATAATCCTGCCTCATGGAAATGAGGGAGGCTGAGGTTTGGTTGTTTTTTTTTTTTCTTTCTCTGCATGCTGGAGCATAAATTCACCCCTCAGTAAACTTCTCTGATAAACAAGGCTGTCAAAACAGGCTGATTGCTCCCTGCAGAAGTCGGATTTTAATTCCCCAGGCAGAGGTGGCATCAGTGACAGGTCCAGTAATCACCAGGCAAACACAAACCAACAAAGCAGAGCCAGGAGGGAGCAAATCTGAGCTTGTCTGCTGAAAAGAAAAGCCTGAGCTTATGTGCAGCTCCTGGGCCAGAGGGTTTGTGGGGACGGGCTCAGATCAGGCTCATCTTGGGCTTGTTGGGCCCTGGCACCGCCAATAACAATCTGCAACACAGCAGGTTCCTCCCATTTCTGCTTGTTTGCTCCCCTTGGATTGCTAGAAAGGGATGCAGACAGGTGGAAATACAAAGACTCAGAGCTAGAAGAGCCCAGAAATCAGTGAATGCCCCCAGTGATGGTTTGAAGTGACGCTTGGGATGACGTCACGTGTGACAGAACAGACCTTGTGCTGGGGCTGGAGGACCCTCCAGTGGGAATTTTTCTAAAGGTTTCTTTCCAGGCAGTGCTTGGAGGTTGTTCTGAGGTGGCAAAAAAAAGGCAAACAAGAGTTGGGGTGCTGCAAAAATGGTCCTAAGCTGGGATTGATGGTTTATCCTCAGAAGGGAACAAGCTCAGTGATCCATTTTCTGTGCCAAACTGTGCCTTAACTCTGGCTTGAGTAGATGTTGCTTTCAGAAGCTGGAAAATGGAAAAAGGGGCAAGTCTGAGCCAAGATATCACAGGGGAAAAGAAATCAGCCAAGCTGGGCAAGGGAGAGGAAGGTTTTTAGCATTTGTCAATCATCCTCGTGATGAAGAGAGAAGAAAAGAGGATGCACTGGAGGGTGTTTGTATTTGTAGCAGAGCAGTAAATTAGTCTTGTGAACTGACACAAACACTGTCAAGGGAATCCTCTAATCCTGTCCATGGGCCTGTCTGCAGCTGGTGTCTAATTACTGTTTTGTGGTGGTTTTTTTAAGTGGAGGCAGAAAGGATGACACAAAGCAGGAAAATAAAATGCCTTTTTCTCTCCCTGCCATTGACACGATGAGACCTCTCGGGGCACGGAGTGGAAACACACACCAACCCAGATTCCTCAAATGAGTACTGCAGAGACAAAAAGAGAAATAAAAGTGGGAAAAAAACCCACTCCGGATTAACGACCCAGCTGAGAGGAAGGATATTTACAGTCCTCAAGTCACTGAGCACAAATGTGTGTGTGATTAAAGCCATTGATTAGGGGAGAACTTCAGAAGATAAACAGCCAAGATACTTCCATGGGGTGGTGTTTTTTTTTCCTAATTTCCAAGTTTTTGGTCATTTTCCATAATCCCAGGCTGGAAAGGCTTTGTTGGCTTAGGCTGATAACTCAAGGTCTCGCTGACACCCCTGTGGCCAACATTCCTCCATCACTTCCAAACCCTGAGACCTCGGGTCCAAAACTGACTCACAACACAGCAAAGCAGGGAGGAATTGATATCAAGAACAATTTACACTGAAAACAAGAGCGAGGGGGTGGAGTTCCCTGTTCCATGAGTCAGCCCCTGGCTCTCTGCCTGTGTTACCTGTCTCACAGTGCTCCTCTCATCTCACAATGTTCCTCCTCCTGTAGTCACCAAAATCACGACTGACAGGCACACGAGGCAGGCTGAGATAGACTCAGCTTTCCAAACCATTCTCTGAGTTTAGTTTTGGGGGTTTTTTAATATGTATTTTTAAAGGAAAACTAATTATTTGTTGCAAGTGAATGACTTCTGGAGCGAGGGCTTCGGGACAAATCCCAAATATCTTAAAAATGTGAGCAGCAGCACCCATCCCACTGCAGCAGCAGCAGCAGCATGGGAGCTGGAATTTGAGAGGCAACTAAATGGGTGTGTAAAAACAATGGGATTATTTGGGTTTACAGGGGTAACAAAACCCCAGTTTACCTTCCCATGGAGTTTTTATCGGCTTTCTAAATCTGCAGCTGCCCACAGTGAAACTGGAAATAGTTGCTCGCTGAGATTGCTTGCCAGAAATACCATCGGTGGTAAGAGGGCACAACACGAGACAGAGCATAAATTAGGGCTGAAAAAGTCCAAATAATCAGAGCAGTGTTCCCAGCCTGCCCCATTCCTGCTGCCTGACCTTTCCACCTCTCACCTGCGTCCTCCTGAGGCCACAGAGAGCTGAATTCAGGGTTTGGGGAGGGAAAACAGACTCACTGCTCCTTCTACATCTGGTTTTTGTGGGGCAGGGAGAGCAGGGCACAAAGCCCCTCTCCTTTTCCTCCTGAATCAGCCACAATATTCCAGGCCCTGGAACCGATTGGATTGCACAGAATCCAGAATCAGGTCCTGTTTGATCTTTGATCCCATTTTTTTGTTCCACAAGGGAGCAGTGGGGGCAAATGGGACGTGCTGGGAGAGCACATGTGCACAGGGTGCAGCTGCTGAATGTCTGCAGCAACATATATATATATATATAAAAATATATATATAAAAATACACTTTCCAGAGGGTGGCTCGTGTTTTGACCCGAGATGCTGTACAGAATCTTATGGAATAAAGCTCGGAGCTTGGGAACACGGAAAGCAGCACATTTATCAATGTTTGGAGAGCAGATTGCCGTGAGAGATCCAGGGAGGCCCTGGGACAGAGTTAATTCCCTTTGGGATAGAAGGGCTTCATCCTGTGGGTCTTTAGGGCTCTGGAATAACTGGTTTGGCTCTTTCCAACCCAAACCAATCTGGGTACAGCCCTGATGCAGCATCACCCCCCCCCCATCCTCCATCACCAGATTTGAACCAAACAACCTAAAAAGAGGGGTGAAAAAAAGCAGAAAACCTCAACAGACCCTCGAGATTTAGGAGCAGGGATGGATTTTAACACCACTAAGGGTTCCTGGGCCACAAAAATACGTGGGATCTCATTCCCATGGTGCTGACAGGGTAAACAAATAACACAAGTTTCTGTAGCCTGGCAGCTTCCAAAAAACCCCCTCTTTTCTGGCCGTCACAGAAACCACTCACGACATCAGGGGCTGCTTTTTTTTTTTTAAACAACCCATAATCAAGCAGCTCTGCAAGCCTGTGACAAATGACAAAGCCAAATTACATCTTTGGGAGTGAATTGGCACTTACTCACCAGGAGGTGAGTGGAAAGAAACTTGGAGTTGACGAACAGGCAGATAAACGGTGAGGGGAGGAAGAGCAGCCCTGACAGTTTCCAGGGGTGAGGGATGAAACACTTGGTGGCAAAGGATCTCAGGAGGCTGATTTGGCGTTTGATTGGACTTAAATCTGATAAGGAGCAATTGGATGGGGCTGCTGACACTTGGGTGTCCTCGACCTTTTGAAAACAAGGCAGGAACTCCAGCATCACTTATTCAAAATGTGTTAAAAGGCCAGTTGGGGGTTTCTTTTGCAGCACAGACAGGGAGACAATGCAGGGTGAAACCTCTAAACTCTTAATAATTTTTGCTACTATTGACCATTTAATCCCTGGCAGTGTACAAAGGAAGGCATTAAGGGCTGTGAATTGGGTAGAGAATTGGTTTTAAGGAAGAAAACTTGCTGCCCATCCCAATTCCTCAGCACACTCAACAAGCCACTTCATCACCACTGGAGCAGCTCTGTTTGAAAAGGCCTCCTGCTCCCTCCCAGATCCATCAGCCACTGATTTTTTAATCTCAGCAGCAACATCCCTGAATATTAAAAGGTATTTGGAAGAAAGGAATACATTCTGTGAGGAAAACCAAGCAAGGGATTGGAAGACACGACATTTTCCCCCTTTTCTCAGATGCTCAGCAGGGAAGATTAGGGCGAGTTTCTGAGCTACAGAGGTAGCTGGGTGTCTGCAGCAGAAGGACATCGTTTCTGTGGCCCCAAAGTGTTAAAAACGACCTGCAGGAGGGTTGGAGAGGGGTTTTCCAAAGGCCATGCACTGAAAGGACAGGGTGGGGATGGTTTTGAGCTGAAAGAGGGTAGATCTAGATGGGATATTGGGAAGGAATCCTTCCCTGGGAGGGTGAGGAGGGGCTGGGATGGAGTTCCCAGAGAAGCTGTGGCTGCTTCTGGATCCCTGGAAGTGTCCAACTGGTAGCAGGTGCAACTGGTAGCAGGGATGGAACTGGGTGATCTTTAACCTCCATTCCAACCCAAACCATTCCAGGATTCTCCAGCAGGCAGTGTGGGATGGGATCTGTGGACAGCAAAGCCTCTGTGCTGTTCAGGCTGCTCCGTTTTCTCTCCCTGTGTGTTGTTCCAAGGCAACAAAGTCTCCCCACTGATGAACCAAAAAAGGTTACCTTAATAAATTAGCATGCAGATCCCACCCCCCCCCAAAAAAAAAAGAGCAAGGGGACAGACTCTGACACTGGCTATTTTCTATTTTTAACAGCCTTTGGCACGGCTCTTGCATTCCATTTACAGCGAGCCAGGAGTTGCAGCAAACAGGAATTGTTATTGTTTACCCAGCTTTACACTCAGCCTCACACAGCTGATTCCCTAAACCCGCATTTGTTTCACCTTCTGTCTCAGCACAGAAAGGAAAAAGGGGTAGAAATGCTGCATTTAAATGAGGGAACAACCAAAAAAAAAAAAAAAAAAAAAAAAGCTCAGCCTGATTTGGGCTGATTTAGAAGCCCAAATTGTTTTGTTATTTTGCCTCTGCCAGTGACTTCAGCCAGAAAGTTCTTCGAGAATGTTGTTTAGTTGTTTCTCACTGAAGGACAGAAGCATTAATTTGCTGAGAAAAGATTTGAGGTTGTGGACTTTGCTTTCTTCAGCACAACATTTCTGGCCTTAGAACCTGGTTGATATTGGAATTAACAGTGACACTGCTCCACCTGAGCCAGCTCAGAGGGAAAAGCTTTGGGAACAGCCCAGAGGCCCTTCCAGTGGCCCTGGACAACATGGCAAACAACTCTCTGGTCTAGATTATATCTGGATCCATTTTGCAAAAGTGCTATTTTCACTTATTTCTCACCCCAGCATTGCAGAGAGTTTCATTTTCCTGTTCTCATTCAGACAATGTTGGTTTTATTTCTAAGCAAAGCAAAGTCCCAAATGAGAGAATTAGGGGACCTTGTTGCAGTGATGTTCCAGTGAATAATACATTTCCAAACAATTCCCCATAAGCAGCAGTGTTGACTCTTTGGTGTTTTAAATACATCTCTGTGGCTTTATAGGAACATTTCTCCCTGAATAAGTGGCTTCAGCATTTACTGACGTCCCATTCAAGTCATTTAAAGTGAAAATTTCCACTCAAATCAGGAGCTCAAGTCGTAGTTAAACAAAAACCCAAAGGTTTGGCCTCAGGAAAAATGTTCCCAGGATTTTGAATTAGTTTTAAACAACTCATAATTGTATAGAAGAAGAAGTCCCATTGTACTTTCCTTACTAAGGAGACAGCTAAGATCTTGTTCTTTGAATCATCTTTGGGAGGTAACCTGGCAAGTAATATATCAGAAAAATTATAAATATATATTTTTATATATATATATATATATGATCTATATCACTGATCTAAGAAGAAACCTTTCCTTTCACTTTTCTGAATTTCAGATGCATTCAATGAGACACCAAAATGGGCACAGTTAGATTTCCTAAAGGTTTCAGGGAAAATGAGTGCCCAACACTTGAACATTTTAGCAGTCAGCCCAGTAATCCCTCTTTTCTCCAGCTCTGACTTCTGAAATGGTGCGATTTTCTTGCCATTTGAGAGCCCTTGTGATGACCTCCTAGATATGGCTGTCATTTGGGGGAACTAATCTTGAATTAGGAGTCCCAGAGGAGGCAATTTCCCTCCGTCCCTGGTATCAGCCAGGCTGGATGGAAAAGGGAATATAATAATAATAATAATGATATTAATAATAATAATAATAATAATAAAACAGCTGCATTGACTGACATCTGACAGAATCCATGCCATTGTCTGACACCATACATTCTGAATCACTTCTTCCTGCAGGAATTGCGCTTCCACTCGCAATTATTTTTTTCCTCCAAGTCAGAACAGAATCCTATTTATTTTCCCCCAGTGTTTTAGTTTCTCTGGTTACCTGCGATTCCTCACTGCCTCTTTGCCTTAACAACCCCGCGTTGTATTTTCCATTTTAGGCTCTTTCTTTCCTGCAATCAAACCCCCGGACACCCTTTTTAAAATAACATTCTGGCTGGGATATTTAAACAGCTGCATCAACCCCATCATCTACCCCTGCTCCAGCCAGGAGTTCAAGAAAGCTTTCCAGAACGTCCTGAAGGCTCAGTGCCTCCCCGGCAAGCAACCAGCTAAGAAGAAGCAAACCCCGAGCTTCAACCTCAACCACCCCGCCAACCAGGCCGTGGGGAGCGGCCAGGGGGTGCTCAGGATCCCCGTGGGCTCGGGGGAGACGTTCTACAGGATCTCCAAGGCGGGCGGGGTGTGCGAGTGGAGCGTTTTCTCGGCCGCGCCCGCCGCGCCGGCGAGGAGCGCCGTGGCCAAGGCCAGGAGCAAAGGGCTCCTCCAGGAGTGCTGCTGCGCGGGCACCTCAGGGAGCCTGGCCCAGGGCAGCTGCAGGGTGCCCACCATCAAGGTCCACAGCATCTCTGTGAGCGACGGAGGGGAGGACGTTTAAAAAAAAACGTGGAAAAACTCCCGGGGGTCGGCGGTGGTGGTGGTGGCGGTGGTTGGGGGTGTCTGGTGGGGTGTCGCTGTTTTTGTTGGGAAGGAGGTGTTGGAAAGGTCCAACCAGGGGCAGACCCTCCTGAGGAGTGAGGTCTTTGAGTGCTGAACAAAGCCCCTCGAAGGCAGCAAGGTTGTCTTTTCCGAGGGCCCGGTGTCTGCGAGTGATTTCCCTGGCACTAAAGGCTTCGTCCCGGTGTTCTCCTCTCTCAAAGTTCCTGCTGCTCTGGTTTAGGTGCAGCGGAGGAGAAAGAGTGAACTGCTGGTTTCAGCATCTGACACCTCCACCTTTAGAGCCCTTCTGTGGCTCTGCCCCCACCAAAAAAAAAAACCAACAAACCCTAAACCTCAATTGTGGATTTCCTTAAACTCCATTGCCAGGGGGAACTTGGTCCACGTGGCTGCGCCCCACCGAGCCTCAGAGACCAACCAGAACTCTCCTGTTTTGTGCAACCAACCTCCCAAACCTCCAACCCCAGCCCAAGGAGAATTTGCATGTGTCATTGGTTTGCTTGGACTGACAAAACCCCAAACTAGGTAAGTCACCATCAACCAAGGCCCAAAGAGGCCCCTCTCACTCATCCAGTTGTTTTTTCTTGCCCTGAGCCCAGCAGGAACCTGCTGAAAGGCTCAGGAATTCCTTGCTCAGGTGCTTGATAGCCAGATCAGTGCCAAAGTCACTGGAAAAGCTGCAGAGTTTTTGCTGTCTCCCTGCCCAGTGTTTTGCTACATTCCTCTTCTGACTCCTTCAAAACCCAGTGCTCCAAGCTTTCTGTGAGATTCCTGGAGTCAGGAACTTTACCCCTGTTCTGAGCAGTGGGAGTTCAGTGGCTTAAGGACGTCCATCCCCCTGAGAAAGGGGCCATCCTTTGGGAGTTTGGGAGAGAAAGCATTTGGAAGCATGTTATATTTTCATACAGCTAATCCAAATAAATAAATAAATAGAGGCGGTCAGCATCTGGAAGAAATAGTGGGAGGAATTCTCTGTACAATATTAGAAATGAGCAGCTCCTGACATAACTCCTGAGCCTGCCAAGTAAGAATTCAGCTCCTTTGCTGGTGGCTCAGTGTGAGCTCCAGGGAAAGGGCTTCAGATAAGGCTCACTTTCCCAGGAGAGGGCCTTGAAAGGGCACCTTGGTGTTGTTGCTGAGGAATCCCTGTTTATTCATCTCTCACTCAGTATGAAGTGCCCAATGTCAAGAGCATTTCTGGGTCTTATTTCTGCCCTCCCAGAAGGCGAATCTGCTGCTCTCTCCCGTTTTCAGTCTGAACAAGAAACCCATCTCACTATTAAGGTGTTTCAGGTCTAGAATCAGAAAGGAGAAGTGTGGAAATAACCACGGAAGAAAATATTCTCATGGTCCTTCAAGCCAAGGCCAGAAGGGAAAAAGCTGGAAACCTCATAAGGGAGTCACGTGAGCCCCGTGGTCCCAGGGGGTTGGGATACGTGGGACGTTTATTCGGGCAGAACCTGAAACATTTTGAAGCCCACCCATTAAATTGAGCCAGACTGGCAAGATTTAAAGCCTCCCCTGCACACACTGGCTGCCCAACCCTATCTTATTTTAGAACCAATACTTGTTTTACGGCCAGTGAGGTCCTTTGTGCCTCCTCTCCTTCGGAGCCGAGAGATTTGCCCGGAGTCACTCCAGTAATTCCAGATTTATTGAGTTTCAGGGTGCCAGGGGAAGGTCGTGGAGCTGCACACAGGCTGGCACACAAAGGGACTCATTTAATTCCACAGCAGTTCTGATGCAGCAACACAATCTGAATGTGCAAGATGAAGATAAATAACTCCCCGTGCTGGTGGCAGTGGCGGGATGGACACGGATAAACCACCTTTGGAGCACAATGCTCCTGTCTGGGAGAGGCAGAGGTTGGAATAATGAAACCTTGGTCTCACCTTTATCCTTTTTTTTTTTCTTTTTTCCTGTCAAACAGATGCTAAAGGCCTCTGAAAAGCCCTCAGCATCAGGCCAGCCTGGTCCCAGCCACACCTCTGCTGCTGCCACCTCTGCCAGCACAAACAAACACAGCGTTTGTTTGGCTCACCCAGAGAATTTCTGCAGGGAAATCTGCCCCCTTCCCTTGTTGAGAGCAGGGTCATTGGCACTTGTCATCTCGATGGATATTTGGACTGAAAAGTCTCAAAAACCATAGAAGGAGCTCTAGGAAGAAGAGAAAAAAAAAAGAGTGCAGAATTTGGCATGTATATTTGTGTTAGTTAAAGGGAACTTGGCACTGGTGAAAGAGGCCCTGAGTGAAACCTTTGAGGAGTGTTGGGACACCCCCCCCCAACCCCTCCTGTCTGTTGGGAGTGAGTGACAGCCAGGATTTCCATCTGCAGAGGGGCAGAGTGGCTGCTGCAAAGGGCTGGGAGCTGGAGCATCACAAAGATAATTCCCACAGCCCTCTCCTCCTCCCAGGGCCAGGGAAGTTCAGTAGTCCAGTTTCCACAGTTAATTCAGATTTACTGTCTCATGTTCTCGAGGCTTCATGTACTTTGCAGCATTATTCAAATCCCAAATACTCAAGTTCTGCCCGCTACCCAAACAAATGTCTTCTGGTTTTTGTATCTTTTATTTTGCTCTGCCGAGTCCAGGGATAAATTGCTCATTGTGCAAGAGAGTGTTTCCCTTCTCCAGCCCTTAAAACCCGTGGCATTGAAAGGAGAAAAGATTAAGCTGCTTGCTTTTTCTGCTCAGAGTAAGCAAATGGATTTCAGGTTTCCTCGCAGAACTTCCCTGCCTGACTCCTTCAATTTTCTGAGAGGCAGCACTGACAGGCTGCAGCATCTCATACTGATTGAAGGCACTTAAAAAAAGATCTTATTGCTTGACTGAAGTGCAAGTGCTTCGTTCTGGATGTGCCTGTTGGCCTCCTGTCAGCCCATGCTCCCGTTTAAATGGGGGTTTTATTGGGAACTTGGTTTTAAAACAAAGCTACTGAGGCACTGAGAGACTCAGTGATTCGCTCCAGGAAGATTCCAGCTGTCCCATGCTGAATTAATTAACTCCACATCCTACTCAGAGATACCTTTGTCCTCTTTCCTGCCTTAATATGGTTTGGATAAGCCAGACAATGTCGAAAACTGACTCCAGGGGCCGGGCTGGTGACACTGGTTATTTCTGGAGGATCCCTTCCCCCAGCAGAGCCAGACAGGAAAACCAGTTGGGCTTCAGAGGATTCCACTGAGCTCGAGGCACGTTTGGGACCTGCCCCACAGTGCCATGGTCTGCCAGGAGGAGAAGGTGTCTCGAAACTCCTGTGAGAGCAGTTTGTGCATCTGCTCTCTCTGCCTCCCCAACCCCTTCCCGTCCCCTCCTGCCCTTGGAATCTCACTGGGACATCATCCCAAGCCGTTTCCCAAGGAGCCCAAGAGCCAGCTAACACTTTTTATGAATGAATCCCTCCGACATTAATTCTATTTCTTGCCTGATTATACTGAGACTTCCAGGGAGGAGGTTGCACTGCCTGGCCAGGCTAATCCTGGCTTTTCCTATCAGTGCACCATCTGTAAAAAAAGGAGCTTAATCCCTAAGCACAAGCAACTCTTTTTGAAGGAGATTTCCAAACAGGCTGTTGAATCCATGACAGTGTTATAAAACAAGACACCCCAGAGGGAGCTCGTGGTGCCTCCAAACGCAGCTCTTGATAAATGTCATGGCATGAATCTCTTATTTCCCAGGGGGAGATGAAGGGTTGGTCTCAGGGACTGGAGGGAAACGTTGTGTCTTCTCCCTGCCTGTTTCTCAGGCTGACAGGGAGGGAGAGAGCAGCCAATGTGAGCTAAGGGGAAGTGAACTGAAGAGAAATAACACACCTGTTGGTCCCACAGCACCCTCGAAGGTCGAGTTAAAGCAGGTTGATGTCTCAGGATAATCCTGAGCTCAAACCCAGAGGCTGAGAAAGAGCCTCTCCTTTCTCATCACAATGAGGAGAAGGTCTTTTTCAGAGGGAAAAAAACCCTCCAGGGGTTAACAGTGAAAAATAAAAATCCTCTTCTTTGCCTTGATCTGAATTTCCCCTCTGAGCTGCAAACACTCGGCCTTCCTAAACCCCTTGCCTGAAGAAGAAAACACAAATGCACCCAGAATTCCAGCAGATTCCCACTCCCAAATCCATTGCACTCAGCTGATGGTCCAAACCCTCCGCTGGATATCCTGAATATTCCATTCTCCCTGTGGGAATTGCAAACTGGGCTGGTTTGGGCTTTTTTTTTTTATGGGGTGGAGGGGGGGTGTTTGGTTGCAAAACTGTTTCCTTTTTCCCTCTGTCTTGCAGCATTTTGCCTGCATGTTGTAGGAGTTTGGCTGCCAGGGGTTTTTTAAAGATGTTTCCTGAAGCAGGTCCTGCGTTTTCCCAAGCGTTGCATTCCGTTGTCAATGGATTTTCTACGTCTTAAAGGCTTCTCATGTGTTGACACGTTTGATGCTGGTCATTTCCTTGAACAAAAGTGAATGTATATAAAACCTTGCCAGGTGAACAAATAAATTATTTGAGGGGGGGAACGTGCATTTTTTTTTTGGGAGCTGCAAGTCTGTTTGATTGCTCGTTTCTTACCTCCAAGATGTTGATGCAAAATATTCAGATAAATATTTGCACAAAGGTGTCTTCTCCTTTCCAACAAATTTTCAGGTAGAGATCCCTCCCAGCACTTCAGATCTCGGTGGGAGCGAGGCACGAGGTGAATAAAGGCGTTAACCTTATATTTCTGCTGCAAAAATTAAAGTTCAGCCCTTTAAAAAAATTATTTTTACCGAGTTCATTTGGGCTCCAGATCCTTTACTGTGCTCTCTCCTTCACTTTGCTTACAGTAAAACATCATTTCCCAGATGAAATCCAGCCCATTTTGCTGAATTCCTTATAAACAAATAGCAGGAGAACAATCCCTGTCGACCCAAGAATGTAAATCCTCGTTGGGAAGGACGGGGCTGAGTTATTATTTCCCG